GTTGCCTGGCTTTTTCCAAGATACAGTGTGTGACAATGTGGACTTACATAAAAAAAATTAAAATGACAAAAGCATAAAATGTGTCAAAGTAGAAAGAAAGAGCAAGGGCATCAGATAGAAAACAGGAACAATTGAGAGATACTCCAAATGTTATCAATAAAGGGTTTAAATGTTACTATTATAAATATAACACTTAAAGAACAGAGATTGTCAGTTTAACAGAAAACAAAACAACTGTTTGCAGTCCATAAGAATTGCATTTGAAATTTAAAGAGACATGGATAAACTCTAGGCTTTTGTAGGTCAATGGATGCAACTAAAGACCATACTCGAAATGATTTGGACTTGCCTGTGTAAACATTGAACTGTCTCCCTAGTGTAAGAAACTGAAGGCGTAAATAAGATCCAAAAGGTATAACAGATATTGTGAAAGGGAAAAGAACTGCTCAGGAGGAAAGAACAACTGGGATGGGGGAAGGAGACAAGGGGGGTACGCAGGATATCTAAGATACTTCTAACAATCTCTGTGCATTAGATTGACCAATTTTATCTGGTAATCTGAACAACTACTTTGAAGATAGCAATATGCACTATAATAATGGTGGTTAATTTTCTATCTTGTTCTTAAATTCTGTATCTTTTTTTTATTGTTTTTTATTTTCTTTAAAAAGCAATGGAATGAAAAATGACAACAATGACCCTAATCAAAGTGTGAGTAGTTCCATTTATTTCAGGTACAGCATACTTCAGAACAAATGAAACTATCAGGATTTTTTTTAAAGGCATAACTGATGATGAGGGGCCAGTACACCAAAAAGATAAAACAGACTTAACTGCATAACTAACAACATCGTGTCAAGATATCTGAGGCAAGAGAGAGCGTGAGAATTACAGGAAGAAACAGAGCTGGCCCCAAATCTGGATCTTTAGTACTCTTTAAAGATTAGACAGTTCACCTGTTTAGGCAGAGTGCAGTGGCCGGGGTTCCATCCCTGGGTGCGCAGTGCCGGCCTCGGCCCCGGGACGTGCCCGGGTGTGACGGCGCATGCCTGTAATCCCAGCACTTGGGAGGCTGAAAACAGGAGGATTGTCACAAGTTCGATCTATGTAGTGAGACCCTGTCTTAAATACAGGAAAAAAAAAGAAAAAAGAAAAAGAAAAAAAATTAAAAAAAAGATTTAAGAATGAACAGAAATCACTAAAATTTAATACTGGGAATCAATAGAAAAAAGTCAATAAAACCTAATGCTTGTTCTTTGAATATCACAATACAATTTATCAGTCTTTAGTTCACTTAACTAGGAAAAAAAAAAAAAAAAAAGGGAAAGCTCCAAATTACTGCAGCCAGATCTGTACTCACAGAGTACAGATCTCATGGATGTTAAAAGATAAAAGCACATGGTGAACACTCGCGTGGCCTCAGGTTTCATAGCCCAGATACAATGAATCAGTTACTGGAAAGCCTGCTCTGGAAGGTTGAAAAGTATGTTATAGCTTGGAGACAGACATCCAGAGGGTGCAAAATCTGACTGAAGCACAAATAGTCGGAATACGTCTCTAGCAACTCTAGAGACTGATTTAGTAATCAAACTTTCAGAAAATAAAATCCGCATTCCAGGTGAGCTCACTGAGGACTTCTTCTAAACTTCTGAAGAAGGAACTATGCCGTCATCTACTGTCTCTTTTGGAACGTAAAAGCAGAAGGGATATTACCTATCTGAGTCCAGCATAGCTCTGAATATTTTTTTAAGGCAATGACATTTGTCTTTTCTCCTCCCTGAGACAAAATACGTGACCCCCAAGTTCGAGGTGGAAAGAGTCACTGTAGCGCAGTTTGTAGAGGTTTCGGTTCATAGTTGGCTGGCTCCAAGGCGGGGTGGCTCGGCCGCAGAGAAGGTCGCAGAGGAGGTAGCCCGTCGCAGCAGGCAGAGGGCAGCAAAGCAGAAGGCCCAGGCGGCAGCAGCCACTGCCTCTCGCTTGCGTCCCTTCCAGGCTCCCCGCTCTGTGGGTGGTGGCACCCACGCTCGGGTTGGTTGGGTCTTTTTAATACGCACACCTAGAACTATGGCAAACTAATCTGTGGACTAGTTTAGTAGTCACAGACTCTTAGTGTCAGCCTCACACACTTAACCCCAGAATCACCCTAGATCCGACCATGTGAGGCGTTGGAGGGACATCTAGACGCAAGCCAGAACAACATTACAAAAAAAAACAAAAAACAAAAAAAACCAATAACTCAGGAATATAAATATAAAAATTCTATATAAAATATCAAATCAAATGAAACAGTGCATAAAAAGGATTATACATCATGGCCACTAAGTTTTGTCCTAGTTGTGCAGGCTAGTTTAACATCTAAAAATCAATTCACATAGTCCGTGACAGCAGTTATGGTAAAAAAGAAAAAATTCTAAATAAATAGTTCAAAAAGAAGCATTTAATGGAATTCAGCCTCATTAAAAATATCCCAGTGAGCTAGAAATGGAAGTAAATTTGGTGAACTGGACAAAGAACATATTTTAACAGTTAACTATATTTTATAATTGAGATAATCTTATAATTGAGATAATAGAAATTTTTTTTATTTGATTCAGGGTCTTGCTACACAGTTCAGACTCATAGAGATCTTCCTGTCTCAGCCTCCCCAGCACTGGGATTACAAGCATACTCCACCATGCCTGGTTTGGGGCTGGCACAGCACACCTAGGGTTCCCCGACCAGCAGGCATGCAGTACTGGGAATTGAATTCAGGTCTTCGCACTTGCCAGGCTGGTGCTTATGCCACCGGGCTATCTCCCCAACCCAATAATGAGAAGCTTGAAGCTCTGTTAACAAATTCAACAAGATAAAGGTTCACTAGAGGAACTGATTTAATATGTAAGTATATATGATGCGCAAAGGATTTACAAGGTAGACTTAGAATGGCCACCTGAAGCGTAGAAGAATGCAAAAGCCCATCTGAATACTGGAGATCTGGAGTATCCAATCAAAAGTCAAAGACCTGGAGCTCACTGCAGAGTCTCCTGCAAGTTTGTATCAAGAAACCAAAGGGCCTGCGCTGGAAGGTTGAAAAGTATGTTATAGCTTGGAGACAGACATCCAGAGGGTGCCAAAATTTGAATCACTTTTGGAGGAGTAAGACATCCTTTCTCTTTATTCCATTCAGGCTAAAGGTCAGCGTTTCAGTATTAGTTGGTGCCGTGCACAGCTAGGGTGGGCCTTCTGTCCTCGGTAAGTCAACACAACTGCTAAGCCAATCTGTTGTGCATTTTTTATTCAAGTTGACAACACAATTAACTATCACAGCCATAGTTAGACTCCAGATACAAAAGCAAGCTTATACTCACACTTAATATGGTACAACTATCCTGTGTACAAAAAGAAGTGTGGTAATCCCCTTCCCAGAAGAGAAGGCAAAATTTTTCCTTATGTCTAACATTTTATAACTTAAACATTATTATACAGGTTTAACAATACTTAACTAATATTAAGCCTG